TTATATACATATTCGTGTACCCATCTGGGCTTTGCTGTATTCTAATTTATCAATTGTATACTGGACCTCATCTAGACTAATCCTTTGATTCAATATGTTTAACTGTTCCCCTGATATCTTTGGAGTAATGGAGTTTTTAAATTATTATCTATTTGTAAAGGTGTTGAATTATCTGCAAAATTGTAAAGGTTTTCATAAAAATTTTAAAATACATTTCTTATTTCTTCTGGTTTTAAATACGTCTTACTATCTTTTATTATTTTGTAAATGTTGTCTGCTTTTGCTTTTTTCAGTTTATTTGTTAACATTTCATCTACTCTGTTATTCCTGTAATAAAATTTAGTTTTTAGTGTACGTAAATTGGATTCAATTCTTTCGGAATTTTTTTTATTTATCTTATCTCGGCGAGCTTTTATTTGTTTTTCTCTTTCTATCGAAAAATGTGTCTTATTCTCGGCCACAAGATTATAAAATTGGATGTAAATCTCTGATAGAATGTGGTCTCTATTTCTTCGCTCTTGGCTTGCTATTTTATTTTAATAACCTCTAATTACCATTTTGAAAGTACTCCAGAGACATTCATTAGTTATCTCATCTGATGTATTTTCCTTAAAAAAGTTATTAGTATACTCTATATTTTGTTTAGCTTTTAATAGTGTGTTACTCAGTCTCCATGGAGGGGGAGATCTTTGATATAGATCCTTTATATCGACTATCAACATATCATGGTCTGACCAAGTATTATCTCTTATTATAATTGATTTTGTTGCCTTCCACATGTATATCTCCCCAAATCGTATCTATTCTTGCATCAGAGCCGTGAGGTATTGATCTATGTGTGTAGTTGCGTTTTGCTGGGTGGAATAATCTCCAACAGTCAAATAACTAAATTTTTTTACATATCCACCTCATTGTGACCGCGTGTTTGACTATTTTTTTTATCAATAGATTGATTGGGACTTTTATATTTATCCATGGTGGGGTCCAGTATGCAACTGAAATCTCCAGCAACCAACAAAGTGCCCCTACGAACTGTCTCTACCTTTTCCAATATTTTTGCCAGGATTATAGTCAGAGTTTTGTTAGGTAAGTAAATATTTACCATCGTATAATCTTGCCCTTCTAGTAGTTTGTCCTACTAAAATAATAAACCTTCTGTCCTTGTTTATTTTTTGATATTGACGTAAGAATTTAACATTCTTCGAAAAAATTATAGCCACTCCACATTTCTTATCCTTTTTTAGTGAGGCACAATTAGTTATAGGGTATTTACTATATTTCCAAATTGTGTTGTTCTCCTCAATCCAATGAGTCTCCTGTATAAAACATATGTGAGTCTTCTCTCTTAAAAGTGGGTCCTGAGGAAGCCGTGATACGGCGAAACACGTCGACGTCATACAAGGGGGAGGAGCTTGTACTAGACGGAGTCCGGAGCGTTTTTTTCTTGAGACTGAATTTCCAGCGCCACTGACTACAGCGATACATCTACAGTCCAGCCGAGCCGGAGAAGAGATAGCAGCTCACCCGCTACTTTGAATAATACAAGCTGGTTTAGTGAGTAACGGCGGAAGCCGGTTTAACTCACCATCATATCCAGTAAGGGGGTAATAACCCTCTGTTTTTTATATCATTATTTTTGCTGTATCAATGTGTTGGTTTTAACTCTGCATGTAGCAGACAATAAATTATTGTTATACTTTTCTAGTATTCTGGCTTTTTAAGATAAATAATGTAATGGGGATATCTAATTGTCTGTCTACAAAAAAGACTTATTAAGCAAACAACAATTGATTAATTACTGTTAGTTTAAAACCATCTGCACTATCATTGCATTTCTTATTTCTTTTCTCTTATATATTACAACAATTTTTTGGAAGAATGATCCAATATTCAAGGAGTTTGTATACAATTTTTTATTGTTCTAAAGTTGTGTTTAACTTTGCTCCACTCACTACTACACAGAAAAATATTTTGAAATATATATATATATTTACCCCTTCAGGACTATGATTAGCAAATTCTTTGCTTTTGAGGAATACCTGACATATCTTTGACCGCAAAGCAGATAAAAGAAATGGGGTATAATTACATAAATAGTGATGTCCCGAACGGTTCGCTGGCGAATAGTTCCTGGTGAACATAGCGTGTTCGCGTTCGCCACGGATGGCGAACATATGCGATGTTCGGTCCGCCCCCTATTAATTTACTAATACTAAGTACCATTGTCGGGATACCGCGGGCGGCTGCGAGGTGAGGCTGCACTCCGCTCGCGGCACTCACCCTCCAGCCGTCCGCGGTCCCCTCCTCCTCCTGGGTCCGGCGAGCGGCATCCTTCCAGCCTTGGATGCCGCCCGCCGTTCCCTCCACGTCCCCCAGCGGCAGCATACATGACGCTGCACGCTGGGAGACCGCCCAAGTTTGTACACGCCGGGGTCAGTCACCTGACCCGGCGTTAAAGGCACAGTGCCTCAATCACAGTGGGAGGTCTAGATACCTCCCACGTGTGATTGTTAATTCTGATTGGAAATTATCCAATCAGAATTAACCTGATGGTTTAAATACTTACCTTTCCTGTTCCTCCCTGCCCTGTTGTGGTCTTTGCTTGCTAGTATTGCTACTTACCTTGTGTTTCTGGTTACGTACTCTCTGGCTTGTTTATCCGACTTTGTGACTTTCTCCTACCCTTTGACCTCGGCTCGTTTCACGTTATTCTGTCTTCTGGTTCCCCTTACTCGGCTTGTTTCCTGACTATTCTGTGTGTGCTTAGCCCGGCCACTCTAAGGTCCGGTACGGCACCTTTTGTGTGTGTGTGTGTGTGTGTGTGCCAGCGTGTTGGGTTCCCCGAATCGTGACATTACAACAGGGCCATAATGGAACATGCTGACATACCACAGCTCCTAGTTAATCAAGAGGCTAGAATGGATGGCTTGGACCACCGTATGGATCAGTTTGCTCAAGCTTTGCAAACCATTCTGGCTCGTACTGCACACTTGCAACCTGCCGTTCAGGAGGCTGCTGCTGCTGTGCCCGAACCCATTCCCACTCCAGTACCTGTTCCCGCTCATGTAGTTCACATGACGCCGCCACAGCGCTACAGTGGTGACCCAGCATTGTGTCGTGGTTTCCTCAACCAAATCGTCATCCATTTGGTGATGAATCCACGCTCCTATCCCACTGACAGATCTAAAATTGCCTTTTTGATAAACCACTTGTCCGGGAGAGCTTTAGCATGGGCCAACCCCATTTGGGAGAATACGTCTCCTATGTCCTTTGCAGATTTTCTGACAGCTTTCAGACGCACGTTTGATCAACCCGGTAGGGTTGCTTCTGCTGGCAAGGCTCTGCTTAGGGTCCGACAGGGTAACAGATCTGTAGCAGATTACACTATTGAATTTCGTACACTAGCAGCTGAAGTGGTTTGGAATAATGACGCCCTCGTAACAGCCTTTCAGGAGGGTCTGGCCGCTTATATACTGGATGAAATAGCATCCAGGGAATTACCTGCTCTTCTAGATGATGTTATAGACTATGTGATTCTTATCGATAACCGTATTAGAGAGAGGCGTAGCCAAAGACGGTTGGATACACGGGTGTTACCTGCTCTACCCAGTACTTCACTGCTAGCGTTACCCGCTCCTATGCAACCATCCCCTGAACCCATGCAGTTGGGTGCTACGGGGTTAACTGAGGCCGAAAGAGCGTACCGTAGAAGGGAGGGGTTATGCCTTTATTGTGGGAAGAGGGGGCATCACTGTAAAGCCTGCCCTAAAGTACAGGGAAACTGCAGCACCTAAGGCCTAGAGAGGGGTCGGCCTCGGGTGTTATGACTTTGTCCCCTCATATGTCCATCTCCAGACCGTTTATTACGGTTTCTCTCTTGGTCAATAAAACCACTATAACAACCAAAGCCCTGATCGATTCGGGTGCGGCAGACAACCTTATGGATGAGACCTTTGCCAAAACCGCAGCCCTGAATTTGATCCGAAAGGAGACACCCTTGGCCGTTGAGGCCATAGATGGTAGACCACTGGAGAAACCTCTGGTGACCCATGAAACCCAGGAAATAGTTATGTCTGTGGGTGTTTTGCACAAGTAGAAGCTAACCTTCCAAATAATTGACTCCCCAACAGCCTCCATCGTTCTAGGTTTTCCCTGGTTAGTTAAACACAACCCTGTTCTTGATTGGGGTTGTTTAGACATACTCTCCTGGGGGGAATCTTGTCAGCGAGACTGTATGGCTCATGTACGTCCTGTTTGTTTACTTAACGTGCCCACGGCTAAACCACTCTCGGTTTCTGTCCCTTCTGTTTATGCAGACCTTGCCTTGGTTTTTGAAAAGAGGGAGGCAGATAAGCTACCCCCACATCGTGAGTATGATTGTGCCATAAACCTCTTACCGGGCACTATGCCTCCTAGGGGAAAGGTCTACCCTCTTTCTGAAAAAGAGAACCAGATCATGGAGGAGTACATACGGGAATCCCTAAGAAAAGGTTTTATTAGAAGGTCCTCCTCTCCTGCTGGTGCTGGTTTCTTTTTTGTGGCTAAGAAGGAGGGCGATTTGAGGCCATGTATAGACTACAGGGGTCTGAACAATATAACAGTTAAAAACGCCTACCCTATCCCCCTCATCACTGAGTTGTTTGATCGTGTTAAAGGTTCTAAATTATTCACCAAATTAGACCTCAGGGGGGCTTATAACCTTGTCCGTATAAAGGAGAATGACGAGTGGAAGACAGCGTTCAACACACGCAGTGGGCATTACGAATATCTGGTTATGCCTTTTGGACTGTGTAATGCTCCTGCCGTGTTTCAGGACCTCATAAATGACGTCCTTAGGGATCTATTGCATGTCTGTGCTGTGGTGTACCTTGACGACATACTTGTGTATTCTCCTGATTTGAAGTCACACCATAACCATGTTAGGATGGTGCTCAAAAGGCTATTGCAGAACGGACTCTACTGTAAGTTAGAAAAATGTTTATTCGATCAGACCTCTGTGCAATTCCTAGGATATATCATTACTGAACAGGGTTTCAGTATGGATCCTGCTAAATTGGAAGCTATACTGTCCTGGCCACTTCCCCAAGGACTGAAGGCTATCCAGCGTTTTATAGGATTTGCCAACTATTATAGGAAATTTATAAAAAACTTTTCACCACTCATCTCTCCTATAACGAAGCTGACAAAAAAAGGTCTACACCCTAGGGTTTGGACTCCTGAAGCCCTTAAGGCCTTCGAAACCCTCAAGAAGGCATTTGCCTCTGCTCCAGTGCTGCACCACCCTGATCCTTCTCTTCCCTTTGTTATGGAAGTAGACGCTTCGGAGTCAGGTGTGGGAGCCGTACTGTCACAGAGGTTGTCATATGACAAACCCCTCCATCCCTGTTGTTATTTTTCTAAGAGGTTGTCTGATTCAGAGAAGAATTACGATGTTGGGAACAGGGAACTATTAGCTATTGTGTTAGCTTTCAAGGAATGGAGGTACTTATTAGAGGGATCTAGACACAAAATTATGGTTATAACAGATCATAAGAACCTATCCTATATTGCTGATGCTAGAAGGTTATCTGCCCGGCAGGCTAGATGGTCTCTATTTCTCTCACGCTTCCAATATGTTATTACCTATAGACCTGGTTGCCGTAATGCCAAAGCTGACGCTATCTCTCGGCAGCATGAACCAGTAGAATTTGTTAACCCGACTCCTGAACCTATTGTACCTGCGTCTCAGATAATAGCTGCTACCCGTTTGGTTGTTTCTTCACCTTTCTTTGATAGCATTAAGACATACCAAACCCGGGCACCCCCTGAGACGCCGGTTTGTAAACTATACATCGAAACAAATGACAGAAAAAAGTTGTTAACTTTATTTCACACAGCTAAAACTGCTGGTCATCCGGGGGTTACCAAAACCTAAAAGGGCCTCCTTCAACAGTTCTGGTGGCCTTCACTCAAGCGAGACGTAGTGGATTTTGTTCAGGCTTGTCGGGTCTGCACGCAGTGTAAGTCCCTTAATGTGAGACCCCAGGGTTTTTTGATGCCTCTATCTATACCCAAGAAACCATGGACCCACTTATCCATGGATTTCATTGTAGACCTGCCTCTGTCGGATGGTCAGACGGTGATACTGACTGTGACGGATAGGTTCTCTAAAATGGCGCACTTTATTCCACTTAAGAAACTGCCTTCTGCGGTTCAGTTAGCTCAGGTATTTGCCAAAGAAGTGTTCCGATTGCATGGGGTACCCCAGGATATCGTATCTGACAGGGGCCCTCAATTTGTCTCTCGGTTCTGGAGGGGCTTTTGTGCTGAGATGGGGGTATCCTTGTCGTTTTCTTCCTCCTATCACCCGCAATCTAATGGTGCGGCCGAACGTGCTAATCAGTCTGTGGAATTGTATTTGCGCTGCTTCACTAATGCGCACCAGGATGACTGGTCTCGCCTTCTTCCGTGGGCTGAATTTGCCAGGAATACGGTGTCTCATTCGTCTACTGGCTTAAGTCCTTTTGAGGTTGCTTATGGGTTTCGTCCTTCTGTCCTTCCCGGTGCGTTCTCCGACAAGGGAATGCCCGCCTTGGACCAGCACCTCGCCTCTTTGCGGAAGACGTGGGATCAAGTCCATGTTGCGCTGTCTCGTTCAGCAGCTGCTCAGAAAAAGTTTGCTGATCGCCGTAGGGTTGCGGCCCCTTCCTATGTTCCGGGTGATAGGGTATGGTTGTCCTCCCGGAACCTCCGTCTCAAGGTTCCCTCGATGAAATTTGCCCCCAGGTTTCTTGGTCCCTTCAAGGTGTTACGTAGGGTTAATCCCGTTTCCTACTCCCTTGATTTGCCTCCTTCCATGCATGTCCCGAACACGTTTCACGTCTCGCTTTTGAAACCCTTGCTGTGTAACCGGTTCTCTCGTCCCCTCGGGCGGCCCGTTTCCCCTCGAGCTGTCTCTGACGACGTGTACGAGGTGGCTACCCTTCTCGACTCTCGTGTTTCTAGGGGTCGGCTGCAATATTTGGTGGACTGGAAGGGGTACGGCCCTGAGGAGCGGTCCTGGGTTTCAAGCTCCGATGTGCACGCTCCCTCTTTGGTCCGCTCCTTTCATGCCCGCTTTCCTTTGAAGCCTTCCGCTTCCCGCCCCCGGGCGGTCTTCGAGGGGGGGGTAATGTCAGGCTCCCGCGGGCGGCTGCGAGGGGAGGCTGCACTCCGCTCGCAGTACTCACCCTCCAGCCGTCCGCGGTCCCCTCCGCCTCGTGGGTACGGCGAGCGGCATCCTTCCAGCCTCGGATGCCGCCCGCCGTTCCCTCCACGTCCCCCAGCGGCAGCATGCATGACGCTGCACGCTGGGAGACCGCCCAGGGTTATACACGCCGGGGTCAGTCACCTGACCCGGCGTTAAAGGCAAAGTGCCACAATCACAGTGGGAGGTCTAAATATCTCCCACGTGTGATTGTTAATTCTGATTGGAAATCATCCAATCAGAATTAACCTGATGGTTTAAATACTTACCTTTCCTGTTCCTCCTTGCCCTGTTGTGGTCTTTGCTTGTTAGTATTGATTCTGAACTTGTGCTTCTGGTTACGTACTCTCTGGCTTGTTATCCGACTTTGTGACTTTCTCCTACCCTTTGACCTCGGCTTGTCTATCCCGTTATTCTGTCTTCTGGTTCCCCTTACTCGGCTTGTTTCCTGACTATTCTTTGTGTGCTTAGCCCGGCCACTCTAAGGTCCGGTACGGCACTTTGTGTGTGTGTGTGTGTGTTGGCGTGTTTGGTTCCCCGAATCGTGACACAGACTTCCTCGAGTCCAACTCT